AACCAAGGAAGTGCCTTTTCAGTCATCTTAAATAAATTTCATTTAACAGATTATATTTTTCCTCTTCACTACGTATAACTAAAATACCCTCTTTAGGTTTACAGGGATCGTTTTTCCTGTTTCCATTTGGTAAATACTAATTCCTCCAACACACATACATTCCCTCTCCCCAATCAAATCTTTTGAAAGGACCTAAAATGACCATAGCTATGTTAGTTTAGTGGATTCTATAACATATATTTAAAAAAGTCATGCCCAAATATGCCTGTCATTCACCATCATCAACTGATATCGGCACAGCCTTGGGATTGTTATTTGCCTGAAGAAGGAGCACTAAATATTGGGGCCTTTTATATTTTGGGGAAGGAAACCACAAAAAGTATCCTTCAAAAAAAGAATTCTCAGCAAGCAAACAGTAGACTTAAAAACAGTCATTTATAGCCCAGAAAGCAATTTCCCCCCCACAGATTATAATTAAGGCTGTAAGTCTGTCACAGAAGTCACGGAATCCGTGACTTTCTGTGACCTCCATGACTTCTGTAGCTGCCGCAGCAGCAGTTTGGGTGTGTTGGAGGCGGCTCAGGGCTGGGGCAGGAGGTTGGGGTGCAGGGCGGCACTTACCTTGGGGGGCTCCCCAGAAGCGGCCAGCATGTCCCTGCAGCTCCTAGGTGGAGGGGCCAGGGGGCTCAGTGCGCTGCCCACACCCATAGGCGTCGCCCCCGCAGCTCCCATTGGCTGCGGTTCCCGGTGCTTGGGGCTGGAGCAGCGCGAGGAGCCCCCCTGGCCGCCCCTCCCCCTAGGTGCTGCAGGGACATGTCGGTCGGAACCAGGTAGGGAGCCTGCCAGTCCCGCCAACCCTCCCTCTCTCCCCCAGCACCAACAGGGGTCCCGGGCCGCCACTGCCTGCCCCCCCCAAACACCCACGGTGCCCTAGACTGCCCCTCCAGAGCATACACACACACACCCAGCCCAAGTTTTAGTTAGAAGTATATAGTAAAAGTCATGGACAGGCCATGAGCCATGAATTTTTCTTTACTGCCCATGACCTGTCCATGACTTCTACTAAAAATAACCATGACTAAAATGTAGCCTTAATTATAATCTAGATCAGCGTTTCTCAACCTTTCCAGACTACTGTATCCCTTTCAGGAGTCTGATTTGTCTTCCATACCCAAGTTTCACCCAGCTTAAAAACTACTAGCTTACAAAATCAGACATAAAAATACAAAACTGTCACAGCACACTTGTACTGAAAAACTGCTTACTTTCTTGTTTTTGCCATACAATTATAAAATACATGAACTGGAATATAAATACTGTATTTACATTTCAGTGTATAGTACATAGAGAAGTATAAACAAATCATTGTCTGTATGAAATTTTAGTTTAGTTTGTACTGACTTTGCTAGTGCTTTTTATGTAGACTGTTGTAAAACTAGACAAATATCTAGATGATTTTATGTGCCCCTTGGAAGACCTCTGCGTACCCCTGGTTAAGAACCACTGCTTTTGATTATCCCCACTGATAAGAGGAAGTAAAGTCCTAAACCATAAATAGCTTTGGAGATCAAAAACAGCATTGTGAATTGCACCTGGAAGGCAACTGGAAACTAGTACAGACTATATGTCATAGGTATAATAAGACCCCTGTGTGAGCTACCACTTAGTCAGCAAACATTCACATTGAAGACTATTCAGGAAGAATAGTGCACAAGGATAGTCACATACAGAAAGCACTGCAGTAGTCTAGTCTAGCATTGACATAAGTATAGATACTTATAGTGAATTCTGCATTGTAAAGTAAATGGGGCTCAATCTCCTTTTGGGGGAGGGAGCACTCTTGGCCACTGCTGCTATCTGGGCATCCAAAACAAGACAATGAAATCAAAGTTCCTCAATTATAACCGTACTTACAAATGGTAAACATACCTCAAACCCTTCAACCTAATGGGCTATCAGCTCCGACACTTGCTATGTATGGTGTTTTTTCCTATCCACCAACATCACTGCCGTTATGTCTGTACGGAGCTTCAGAGATCAAGCTCCTAGGCCTTGCCTACACAAAGGGAAAAGTCGATCTAAGCTACGCAATTTGAGTTACGTGAATAGCATAACTCAAATCGACATAGCTTAGAGCTACTTACTGCGGGGTCCACACTATGCGACGTCGATGGGAGATGCTCTCTCGTCAACTCCCCTTTCTCTTCTCAATCAGGTGGAGTACAGGAGTCGCCAGGAGAGCAATCGACGGTCAATTTAGTGGGTCACTAAATCGACCGCCGATGCATCGATTGCCGCAGTGTTAGTCTCTGGTAAGTGTAGACAAGCCCTTAGTCAAGCTCCATTCTTGACAGACAATGGGAAAGACAAGTGACCAAAGCATCTGGGTCTAAATGTTATCAGCATGTCAATGGTACTGCAGCCCAAACCACTACTCCAGTAGTGGCCTCACATATACATTTTACATTTAACAGGCACAATGATGACAAAACCCAGCAATACTCTCCAAATACCAGCCTCTTAACAAAATTGTCAGCTATATTTTGATTTAATGACAAACAAGGCAGAGTAAAATCTATCTTGTTCTCCTATACCTGTATTAGCTTTGTACTGCTGACACTTGTTACAATTTCTGCCTTTTGTGAGAGCTATATTAAAATAGGGAAAAGATGTAGAGTAAAAATGATATTATTTTAAAGTTTTTGGTTTTTTTAAACCATAAAAGTCAGGCTTGAAAAATGTATTATTGCACATCCACTTGTCTAAAGACCAAGCCTACTAACCCCAGTGAAAAATACTTAGGCCTTCATCTAAACCACTCTGCCATAACCCCTGCAATTTACAGGAATAACACTTGTGTACTGTATTTATATGTAACTTGTTACATTATGAAAATATATTAACTAGCAAAACGACTATCTTCTTATCTTTTCTAGCTTCAATTCACATTCTCTTTTATTTTCTATCATAGATCCTGGTGTATTTTTTCTGCATTGTTTCAGTGTCTGTTTCCTTTTCACCTTCTTCCCAACCAACCCCTTATATCCTTTTCCCTCTCCTTTTCTGTACACTGTAATCTCTATCTCCTACATTGTTCCCCCCCCAATCTCTCTTTCAGTACCCTACTTCTCTTTTCTAACTTATCCTATCAGCCTCTCTCTCCCTCTTATTTGCACACTTACCCCATCCATATCCAAACCACAGATACATACACTCACTCACCCCCACCCCTTTGAACATAAAGCTTGAAAATTTCACCAGATACTTAACAGCCAGAGGGCTAAAAGGCGGGGACTAAACTAAGATGAAGGACCCAGCTGTCCAAGATGAGAATCCAGGCCACCGATGAACAACTGGGAAACAGAAGGTACTAAGACTGCTAGCAGGGTGCTGTCACTGGATTCTACTTGAGGCTCCATTTTATTCTTCACCACATAGTAAGTGTCTGATAAATTTGAAGCCTCAAACCACCTCTGGCTGCTGAAGGAGAGAATTCTCTCTCTTGCATACCACTGCCCTCTTCCCCAATGCAATAGCTCCAGTATCTACCTCTGCTGCTCCTCAGAGCTCTCCCAAGCAGAACCAAAATAAAATTGACCTAATTCTTGTCAGTTTGACTAATACCACAGGGTGCTCATTAACATCTGTGAAAACTGACACAGCTGTCCTCAGTTTTTACTCTGCAGATAGGAAACCTCTGGGTGGAAGCACAAGTACTGGAGCCATCTGGGTACAGGCTACTGCAGAGCCTTAGTTTACCCTTGGTAAATTTTCTTTACAAATAGGCAACCTAGAAGATTAGCCCTCTCTTTGATTGAAAGCTTAGATTCATCAGAAGTCAAAGAGATCATCCAGGAAAGCTGGAAAACTGCAAAGTTATTTACAATATGTAAAATCAATTGCCTCATTCTTAACAATGTATGTGGAGAAATGTGCCTGAAATCAAACAATGCTAAAACCTTTTCAGCATTTAAAACAACTACAGCGTTTTACATTAGGTCCTTGTTCTAGCACAGTGCCTAAAACCCTCACTATTAGCAAGACCAGAAACATTGCTGGGTCTGAAGATCCCTGTATGTTGCTTCAAATGGGAAAGGTTCGCCATTGTTCCTTTCCTGTTATTGTTACAAACTGAAAGCTTCCGTGCCAGGAAAACCTTTTCCTTCATAAACTATACGAAAATAAAAATACACTAATCTGAGCCTGTCTGCAGACACCGCCTGCTTCAAAAGAAATGTATGGAGCCTTAAGAAACATTCCAACAATCCCATTCCCTTTGTCTCAGAAACCTACCCAGGTATCCCAGCTGTTGCCCGTGTCTCGTCTTTCAGCTGTGACCCTGTGCCACTCAGCCGATCCTGCCGGCGTTGGTAAAGCTTAGAGGACGCCAGCCCCCGAAGTCTCATGCCAGCCATAGCACCCAATGCCACTGTGAAGGGGAGTGCAGAAAGACAACTGGAGAGAACAAAAGCACTGAAATGTCAGTGAGTCACTTTCCTTCTGGGAGTTTCGCTTATTTCTCAGAAGTGCTAAATCAGGATAGACAGAATCCTGCCCAAGTGCTGCTTGTTACCCATCATCTGCCATTCTGTTACAATTCTAACAAACCAGATTCTTTTGTTCCTGTATCCCACTGGTATGACCCACTGAAGCCAGTGGGTAGGATCGGCACCAGACATTAATTCTGTGTCAGATTTGCACACAGAATCTACACATGCTCCATTTTCCAAGAGATGAATTTAAAAATCTCATTCTTCAAGTAACTTATCCACTTAAACCAATAATGCTCCTCAGTCAAACCAGAACAGAACAACAGTAAAAAAGCAAAAGAGGTCAGTGATCTCCGAGCAAAGAACTCAGTCCTTTACTGCAGACTAATATCAGATCCTGGCTACTCTAAGTTGGTCCCCTGCAAGATGGTGCATCATACAATATGAGGTATGCATGATGTTTATGATGTATGTATGATGTTGCAATCAGCAGAACCCTTCACTCCATGTAGATAAAGCATACCCCCAACAGCGAAAGCATGAAGATTCTTGCTCTCCAGATACACTGTAGTCTGCAAGAGTTGCATTCCGTGCAAGCTCAGGAAGCTGAGAAAAGGAACATACTTTACATTCCAGCCTCCAGAGCACTCACTCTGCTGGGAACTGAGCAGGGTTTCAGCCAGGCGCCCACCCTTTACACCACTCCTGCCTCCCACCCTCTAGAGGAAGAGAGGATCACATTACACAAATGGGACTAAAAATATTCTGAGACCACAAAAGTTGATTCCTTAAAGGAACAAAAGAACAGAATAGAGGATGACAGGAACATCCAGGCTAGAATATCATCACATCAGAAGCAGCACAGTCCAAGAAAACCAATCCAAGGGCCATTATAATCTATGATTTATTTATTTTACAATAAAACGGGATTTTCAAGGAAGTAATGAAATATTACATATATCATATCTACAGTCTGGCAAGCTCTAGAAATAATATGAGAGGAATGATTTGCACAACTATTTAACAGGGAGTGACCAACAGTGGTCCCTTCTGACATTAAAATTTATGAGAGAAGTAGTTTATACTGGAATCCAAAAAAACAGGCAGGGATGAAGAACATCATCGTTTCAAAGAGAAGAAAGCAGCAGCATCCTCACCTTCAGTTCCTCCTACCTTTCTTCAAGTATTTCAGACTGCCTGCACCTACAGGTGACCTGCAAAGAATTTTTTTTAAATTGCACTTGTGCATTTTTTATATTATTTTACTTCTTTATGATGTATAATGAAGACCTGATTTTTTTTAATTTTCAAAATGGCATTTTCTGCTTGCTTTTAACTTTAGAAATATCAGGTATGCCAGCTCTGATCTTTCCTGGTATTGCTGAAGGATCTCCTAGGATGTCTTCGTCTTGGAGGATGTATACAGTAGATCTCTTACCTTTAATTGGGGGTGAAAATGTCAAATAATTAACAAGTGTGTTCTTTTTTCAAAATGTTAAAACCCACTTAACTTTAAGACTAATCAACTGTAGGAACACACAGCTCCCGAATTGCTAGTTCACGGCTGCGGCACACTGCGCCCGTGGCTGCAAGGCCGGAGCGGCCTACACCCCCACGCCTGTGATTAAAAAATTTATTGGCTGACCTAATCATCACCCTCGCTGCTCGCTTTCACGTGCACAAGATATGACTTTGTTAAGTCATGTTGATGAGTATTGTATGCTCCTCCTATGCGCAGAAATTCAACCACTTATAAGTGTTGTAAATAGAAAAGTAAGATAATAAAAACCCCAGAGAAAAGTCCCTGGGAGGCTTTTTCGGCTACCACGACCTGGCGCTCTGTCTCCTTCCTTTTTCGTCGCCACATCTGGTGACCCCGACGTGATCCCCCCTGCTCACCGGCTGGATACGCCGAGTGCATCTCTGCGGCCGTTTGCCGCCCCTGATTCGTGAGTATG